AAATTTTTTATTTTTATACTATAAAGTTGAATTAAGAAGCAGTAAAAAGTCGTCCCGAATGAACCCTAAGGCTTCATTTGAGATAGTTTTTTTATTGCTTTGTGAAGCAGTTTTCTTGTACAAATTTTTTTAGTTTAAGCCTTCGTTTGGAACAGCTTTCTTACTGTTTTCTAAAACATCTTTTTGATACAAAAATTTTTTTTCAACAAATTTTTATATTAAAACTGCTAAAAAAACAGTAAGAAAATTGTCCCAAATGAAGCCTAAAGATGTATAAGAGGAGACAAAACATCATCATTTAGCATGCTCATGACTATTTGAGGTCAACTTTATAAATCCTCACTTTCCATTCATACCTAGTAAGCACAACCAATGTTGTTAATCTACTCTTCAGTCTTCTCAAATCATTTTGAAAAAAAAAATAGTACAGCCTTACAATTCTTAAAAATTGGTCAAAGTAACCAAATTACAAGCATATCAGAAAAAAATATGCACACAAACGAAATGAAATTAGCATAAGCACCACTTTGATACTTTTTATAAAATATATGAGCCGAAAAACAATTCCAAAACTTCCAATAATAATAAAAAAAACTCTGCATTTCTCCAGTGAACTTTGAAAGGGCTACTGATCCTTCATTAACCATGCAGATTTTCATATGGTGATTTATAATACTTGAATACAAGGAAGTTAGAAAGATAATTCTTTTCTACAATATAATAAAAAAGTGATAGGTATTGGTAATATTAGTAAGAATAATTATTTTATCATTTAAAAAGTCTTGATACAAATGACTTGAAATATAATATACTAAGCATTAGTCAACTTTTTGATAAAAAATTTCATATCAAAATTCTATTTATTACTTGTCAATTAAAACTAAATGGCATGATCTATACAGAAAGACATAGCATAAATAATATGTATAAGCTTTATATAGATAATATTAATAAATATAATAAAATCTCCTAATTAAAAAGTAATCCAAATGAGCCATGGCTATGATATATGAGACTATGTCATGTTAGTATGTATATTCTTAAGAAATCATTCACCAATATTTATTTAGAGGAGTACCAAAACTAAATTATACCAATGATCAATTATGTGCTATATGATATCATGAGAAATAGGTGAAAACATCATTTCATTTCCTTATGACTATCATCAAGTATTGAACTCTAATATATTACATATGGACTTATTTGGGCCGATTAGCATTATAAATTTACGAGGCAAGTCATATGGGTTTGTGATAGTTGAAGATTGTACTAGATGCATTTGAGTCAAGTTTAATCAATTTATGATCTCTCTTTTGGGCAAGTATCTACATGATCAATAGAATATTCAAATTTATATAATATCACCATTACTTAGGATTCATTTGGGACGGCTTTCTTGCTACTTCTTAAAGCAACTTTATGGTAAAATTTTTTTAATTTTTATACTAGAAAGTTACTTTAAGAAGCAGCAAGAAAACAGTCCCAAACCAAGCCTTAAAATTCAAATGATCTAAACTCACTCCATCTTGACATTATGAAGTACATTCTATTAATTTATATGGTAGTAATGGAAAGCACATGAAACATCAATGATTAATTAAGATTTTTTATTTGCTAATTAACCCCAATGATAAGCATTGATGCCCATTAGATAATTCTAAAAAATCTTTAAAAATCATAAAGCACACAAAAAACCCTTCTAAAACTTCAGGCATTGGAAGTGCTTTATATGGTAATTTTCTAAAAATGAATTAAGGCCTATTAAAAGAGTGATTAATTATGAGAAGAATTATTAAAAAATATTAAAAATAACTATCTAATTTAAGTTTTTTTTTTTAATAATTTATAATATAACTTTCTTAAGATAATAATGCTATTCATTCCATTTAATTTGAAGCTTAAATTACAAAAAAAAACTTATAAATTTTGAAATATCTCTTTAATTAATAAAATGCCCTAAATCCTATTATATTTAGTGATCAGTAGAACTTACTAGATTGGGCTCATTCACATGATGCCTTACATGGACTAGTTGCATGGACCCAAAGAGGTGCAACATGTGATTTTTGGGCAATGAGGGAAAGACATAGGATCTCTTTGGTAAATTTGGGTAATTGGATCTCAAAATTGAGATCCAAGAATCATTGTGCTTCCTCTTAGGTTGAGCTACGACATCTTAAAATCATGACAAAGAAACTTTGGGGTTGCAACGATGTGCATGGTGGCTAGAGAGGCTAACTACTTTCGAAGTGGCATTACCAATGATGAAGGAGGTGCCACTGATATTGGCTGAAAGCTTAAGCACATTGGGTTATTTTTCATGAAGGTTTCAGGTAGGCATGTAATGTCATTGCTTTCTAGCCCTATTAGGTCCCTCGAAGATCAATCATAGCATATGCCTATTCCTCTAAAATAGTTTAGGGGTTCTAGTAAAGATGGAGAGTGGTATAGAGGTGAGACCTTCACCTACAAGTGATCAAAGAAGATGAGAGCCATTTGAGATTCCAGCTATTGAAACCTCTTCCTCTGAGCTAGAGTTATTGTCTAGAGGAGTTGGGGAGATAAAAGTGAGAGAAGCCACTAAAAGGTCTCCTATCCTCAAATTTCATTGAGAAAAATTTAATAGCTTAGAGACGTCGATTTATGGTTATTAACTGGCTTAGGCGGTGAATACCAAGTGGCTATAGGTAGCCTAAGAGGTTCCAAGAGAGGGGCAAGAGCTGGAGGGATATTTGAACTCCCAAAGGGTTTAAGAGAGCTTGATTTGATTGTGCTCTCAAAGCTTTGACTCAATGGGCCTCGGTAGGTTCATTAGGCTAGGTAGTGTCCAATGGTTATGGCTTAACATTGAGATAGTTAGGTTGCATTTGGGTACCCCAAGTAGCAACTTAGGCTAGTTTATCTAAATGGGCCAAAGCTCAAACTTTACTTTGATCAAGGGAATTTAGTTAACCTTGGTGGCTTCTTATGTCCCCTAGATGGGTCATTAGATGTTGGGTTCTTAAGGACATGGTGGACTAGATTAAATAACATTAGATTAAGCTAATATGTCTTTGACCATTACAACAAACCTTTACTTAGGGTTGATTAGGAAGACATGAGTTGACCTATTTAGCTTGATTGAGGTCCCAGGCAAGTGTAAATGAGTCAAGCCAAGATAGATTTACCCTCTACTTGAGCTTGAGCATGATTAATTAATTGAGCTTAATCAATGATTTGAGCTTGCACTCGAGCTCAAGCTTAATTTTACGAGACTGAGTCATCTCACAAGCCATCTCATTTATCATAAAAGGGAAAAAAAATATTCTAATTCAAGTAGTTATTTTAATAATATGATAAAAATAACAAGAAATCACTTGAAATAAAGAATAAAAATGCAATTCATTATTATTATTTTTAAGTAATTTTAGACTAAACTTATTAATTTTTTATCGTATTTAAATTTTATTTAATATTGATGCTTTTTAAATGAGCTGATTTAGGGGCTGATGAGTTGAATATGGGTTGGTTTAAGCTTGGTTTACTAACTCATTAGGCTTGGCTCACAAGCCATTTATCGAGTCAAGCACGAGTCAGCTCATCAGTCATCTTTATTCAATAACGTCGCTAGTCCAAGGTGTTTAGGCGAGGTCTAAGATCCATGAGGGCCATAATTGGGCGAACCATGGTATACTAGGTTGGTCTATGTGGGCCCATTGGGCTTAATCTAAACCCTAAACCTAGGTTGACCCAATAATGATTCAATAAAAACATAAAATTGACAATATGTCCAGGCTTGACCTAAGTGGGCCCATTAGGCTTCTACTTGTCATGACCGCCTTATGTCTCTTAGGACCAAATTGAACTAGCTCAAACTCATTAGGCTATTTTAGAACAATCCAGTGGTCCTAAGCTGGCTTAAGAAGTCTAATGAGTAGCTATTAATAATTGGGTGTTCTTAAGTAACATTTAGTTAGGCCTTAGGGCGCGGGCCAATTGCATAAATCTTAATAAAGCATATGAAGCTAAACTTAACAAATTTAGATCAAAGAGATGTAACCATATAGTCTAACATGGACAAAACCAATGGGTTAAAGTTAGGACGAGATAGGGTTTGAAAAAATAGGGTCTAGCTTGATGTAGGGTAGATCTTAATGGACAAAATGAGTCATCTAAGACGATCTTAATTGCCAAAATGAGTCATTTAAGATGGGTCTAACTTTCTTAAAAGGGCTTATGTCATGTTTAGCCATAGGTGGTGTTAATACTAAGCCTTGGTTAGCCCAAGTCAAATCCACCCAAATGAATCTAAACACCCAGTTAAACTCAAATTAAGCCTAATTTAACTTAGGAAGCTCTGCACTCAACACAAAATAAATCCAAGTGACCTATCCCGATGCATTAATTAATTTAGCTAATCCACTATGCCTAGATATTTAGAGCTAACCTCAAAGTGCATACACTAAACTCTCTTTAATTAAGCCATCTTAAAGCCTGACCTTGCTTCCCCATGATCTAATGGACCTCAAACAAACTTTTGCTTGGTTACCTTGAACTCTGATCAAGCGATAATCATAAATCCGAGCTCACTGAGGAGCTCAATATTTGGATTTATAAAATTATCCTCACTTAGCCGACTAAACCCCATAAGAATGATCTAGGACACCTTGAAGCCATACATTTGCCTTCCCTTATAATGGAGTTTTCCATGTAGTGCTCAAATATCTCTTCATTGTCACCAAAATCTATGGATGGATGAAAAAAAATCCCCTAAATTAGTGAACTATAGGTTAGAGTTTTTATTCCTATAACATCTTTAAGGGATTGTCACCCTTCGACGCCGAATGCAATTCAATGTTATTGCTGGGTATCCATCCCACTCTCTATACCGCTGGATATTCAATTAACCGGACAGTTATCCCGTCCTTACAAAATAAACTCTACCAGATCAACTAAATAAGCCATGTCAATGAGATGTCAAACAGAGATGACGCGGCGCATTGCGCTGCACAGAACCTCTTGCACGGGTTTTCAGCTATAGTGCGGACAGTCCTGGAGGGCTATCGGGATCCAGCCGCTTCTTCGACATTCTTTCGGCGAAGAATGAAGGAGATGTCGATCTCGATGTAGACTTGGAAGGCCCACAAGAAATCCCTTGCCACTCCATTCATTCTCTCCGCTCTCCGAATTTGTGGCTGTCATTCCCCACAATTTATTGGCTCCGGTTGCTCCTCTCTCTCTCTCTAGGCATTTGCCTTATGACTATCTCCTCGGTTGCATCCTCTGCATTTTGCTACTTTTCAGAGTTGGGTTCCGCAATTTTTAAGTGATGAATGGCTTCTTTTCTTCTTTGCTCGTTATAAGGTTTGATTTTTAAATATTTTTTTTTCTGTCTCTGAGGTTGATTGCGCCAATATTTGTGAACCAGGATATGATAAAAGTTTAGGTTATGTTTTTCTTCAATAAGATTCGAAGTTAATTTGGGAATCGAGAAATCAGATTTGGTTGCTAATTTGGTTTCTTTTGTTTTTTCATTACTCCCATCTGAAAATATTTTTAGGATTTAGATAATTTAGCTGTTTTGAACTGCTGGTGGTTACTGAGCAAAAAGTTAGTGCAACAACCTTATTTGAACCATGGTTGTCGTCGTCATCGTCATTATTATTAGCGTTATCCCAACTATTTGGGGTTGGCCTTATGAATCCTAATTCTATGTTCATTTCTGTTTAGTGCATCTCATATGTTATATTTAGTCTGCTTCTCTTCCAAAAGCTTCAACACTAGTTTTCTCCGCCTAATTTATTGCTGATTTACATATACACATCTTCTAAGTCTATTTAGTATTTTTTTATTACCTTATTTTTAATAGATGTTACAACTATCGCCCCTCTAATATTATAATTTCTTAAATTATGCTTCATTATTTTTTCATGCATCCATTTTAAAATTAATATTTGCCAAGATAAACTGAACTACAATGAATTTTATTTGACATTTAGATCCATATAACATAACCGGTTTAATTGTAGTTTTATAAAATTTGCATGCAAGTTTTTAAGTATTAGCTTTTCACATAATACTCCTGCCACACGTCTCTTTTAATCTTCTGTCATTAATTCTAACCTCATTTATATCCATATTATTCTTTAAAATAGATCCAAGTTACATAAACCCATCACATGTAGTTATAATTTTATCTTTTAGTAAAGTTAGCTTGTAATAAGCTATATCATGCCCGCCAAAATTGTATATCACATACTCTGATCTTTATTCTACAATTCTTAGACATTCACCTTCTAAATATTTTCTCTATTATTTCAAAATTTCAGTTATTTTAGCAAATGTCTCATCAATTAAAACTTCCTTTTGCAGAAATAATACACCAAGGCACCTCATTTCTAATATCCATTATAAGGATCTCCATAATAATATTGAAAGATACACCATGATATCTTTGAATATAGTCCTATCATGATTAAAAACTTTTTGTTTGCTCAACAACTACTTTTAGTATCAGTTAATGATCAATCATATATATATTTAGTAACTTCAACATAAATTTTATTTACTATTTTCTTTTATGCACGCCAAATAAATTGTTGTGGTATTTCATAATAAACTTCCTCTAGATGAATCAAAATTATATGAAGATCATTTGTCAATTTTTTTAGTTTTTCCATTCCAAGTCAATGTTCCATTACTCACTTCGATAATTTCACTGTATATCTCAAAAGTTTGACTCTTCAATAATAATAAAAAATTTAGATATATCTTCAATATTGATATAAATATATATATATATATATATATATATCCCAATCTTTGATGTTCTCCCTCTTATTAAAAAAGACTTGTTAACCAAATTACTATATAGCATCACCGGTAACTCTCCATATCTTAGTAGGCATCTCATTTGTATTTAAAACTTTACCTCTATGTACTGCAACACATCTTAAGGTCTAGGTTGTTTAATGTAGAACTAGGATGAGATGCACAAAGTAATGCAAACAAGATCAAATTTAAATGCCATAAACTTCTAACTTAGACAGTTTCTAGGCAGTTTTTTTTTTGTGTTGAGGTATTTCATATTAAACTTTCATCCGTAATAATTGTCAATAAATGCAGCCACTAACATCCTCTATTTATTTTGGTTACACATGATATTGCAGTGTTATTTGATGGGTGAAATGTGGTTCATTCCTATTTCGTTGGGGACGAGTATTTGCTCCAGTAGATAACTTAGTCATAATCAACTAAAACACTGATGGCTACTAAGATTATTGGGACTGCTATAGCTGGCGACAAAGGATTTTACAAAGAGCAAAGTGGCCTTTTGTGTCCTTACTCAAAATTAGTACATGGTGGATGCTATACTATAACACAGAAGAATCAGTTGAAAATATTTAGGAAAGGACGTTTTTTTAGATTAGTTCATTCTTCCTCCTGTTACTGTTATAGGCACGCCAATGAAAAACTATATCCTTGCTTCCATAACAGAGAACGAGTCTGGTCATGCCATTCTACCTGTACGCGCAGAATTGAGACTAAAATAAGTTCAAGGAAAGAATGCTGCTCAAATGTCCCTAGGTATGTATGTGCCACCACTCTATTTGTTGTAGTGATTATTTAATTCTTGTTTTTCTCGAGTGAACATACATATGCAGGTTTTGGATGATCTCTACAACAATGTTGATTGTAAATTTAATAGCCAATGAAGGAATATCGATGTAGTTCTCTACTACTTGGAAGGTTGACTGAAATTATATAAAGTGTGGTACAATAGTCCATTGTAATGTTAAGTTGCTAAAAGATATAAACTTTTAATGGATTAGAGCTATCTTACACGTAACCCTCCTCATTTACTTATTTCATTCTCATAATTATTGGACTTTTTTCAAGTATTTGAGGTCAGCCTTTTAAGTCCTTGTTCTTCATTTAATCTTGTTGAGTGCTACATAAGCTTTTAACTCTAATTTACTTAAGTCTTTTGCATACTTTCTACCTATGCTGCCTTTGGACTACTCGTTTCTTTCCTATTCCAGTCACAGTCATGTCTCCCTACCTTAAGCTTCTTTTGTCACAATCGCACTTGGCATTTTTGTACGTGCCTAAACCATTTAAATTTCATTCATTATCTTAATTATCATATGAGCTACTCCTGTATCTTAACTTTCTTATTTATGTTGCACATAACCATGTCGACGATGTCTTCATTTCATCACTTGGAGTCGAGTCATAAAACATAATTGGGGTAATTGTAGTTTTGTAGATTTATTTTTAAGTCTCCATTGTATTCAAATTTTGCGTTTTGCTTTTGAGGAGCTTATCCATTTTGAACATCTAGATTGAAGCATCGAAATTATGCCCTCATCTATACTTTTAATTTTTCTGTAAATTATATAAAAAATGCTCAAACAAAGCGCTTGTATGTATCTCTTGATTTTCCAATAGTTTTAACTGTGAATAATCAATTGCACATCTATTGAAATCCCATATGCATTGTCTCTATTTCACTAATATTAAGTCCCTTATTAGCTTATCTTTTAAAATTTCATCATTAGATAAACTTATGATGTCATCTATAAGACTTGCATCATCTTCCATTAGGATATACCAGGATATCTCATCTTGAATATCTTTTATAAGCAACTTTATCATCATATTTTTAATCTATGTTGCCTAGAAAGTTTTTATGTGTTCTACGACAACATTGAATTCTTGCAATACAAGCATCACACATCATTAATGATTTTAACATATTTTTGACATATACCTTTTCTCCTTAAATCACACCAAATCAATCCTTGTGGCAATCAACTTTTTTCAAGATATAAACAAGTGTCATGTGTAGATTGTTTCCTTTATCTATATTCTCCTTCGTTATCATCTCAGCAAACAAGTTGTATCAAAATGATAGCAAAGTCAACAAGTTTTTTTTAATTTTAATTTTGATAGATTATTTCGCATTTATTTAAAGGCATGGGAAATGATAATTTATTTATTTAGGCATCTAAGGCAGGACAAGCAAACGGCTATGTTTGAATTTTCAGCATGTAAATGATTCGTGTGTGTTGTTCTTCTCTGAATGTGTTAATGGAGCCATATAAATATACATTTAATCATCCGATTTTTTTTTCACCTTGTAAATTTAAACCCTACAATGTAGATTTAACTTAATTTTGTTTTTATTTTATATGTGTTCTTCGATTAACATATGTGGCCCAGCAATGATTTCTCGGTTCTTCTATTTGTAGTTGTCAGACGGAAGATGAGAAGGATGAAGAGTATGGTTCTCAATTGTGTGAGCAAATGCTATCCGGAAGAATTTATCACCCAAATCAAGGCTTAGCTGAAGCTTGTAAATTTGTTTATAATGATGCCAAGTTCGTAAATGAAAGGGCACGGAACGACATTATTTTGCTTTCACGGTATCATACATTTCCGCTGTGATATAGGCTGAGATTATAACTTCACTGTAGTCTCTATGTTAATAATCTTGAAAACTCTTTTGGGCATGCTTTGTTTGGTTTTATATAGTTGTGAATAAATGCTGGACAACATATTTTTCTTGGGTTTTGTATGATCTAATCTTGTTGCGTTTACTCCACCGTCAGTCTAGTTTTTTGCCACATCATTTTTCAATGTTCCTGCAAAGTAATTTCGTCTTTTATTTGCTGGTGTTTTTCTTATACTTTCACTTAGTTGTGAATCAAGCAATTAGATATTTTTTACTCATTGCGTGACTTCAATATGCCTAGTATCACCTATTTTCTACTAGTCATTTTCTTTCATTGAGGGCATTCACTCTGCTAAGTATTTATATTTGTGATCATTATTGTGTGTATGCTTAGTAACTTTTACAGGACTGTTGGGGGCTAGAATATGCACGGCTGTTGCATTGCATAAATATTTAATACACAAATAGAAGATTGCAAATCCCAAGAAAATACTAGAGATTTTTAACATGGAAACCATGGAAAAGTGAAAAACCATGGGGCTTGACCCAGTTCAAATGATTCCACTAGTATTTGAAGGAATTACAATGCTTGATCCGTCATGTAATTTGAAGACGATGAAATTATAATAACAGGGGGAGTCGGGAGTAAAACTAGTAACGAATGATGGCGGGCAGGTCCTGCGACGGTCGGTGGCTGGGTGGAAGTCTGACGATGGACGATGGTAGGACGGGGGTCTGGCGTCGGTCGGAAGTCGGGGCGGAAGTCCAGTGCCTGTCGGTGGCTGGGTGGAAGTCTGGTGACGGTCGATGGCCGGGTAGAAGTCCGGTGACAGTCGGTGGCCGGGTAGATATTCGGCGATGAGTGATGGTTGGGCGGAAGTCCGACGACGGTCGGTGGTCTAACGATGGTCCGGCGGTTGTCGAGGAGAAGCTTGGTGGCTAGAAAGATCTCATATTTCTTTTTCTTCTTCCTTTTTTCCTTCCCCCCTCCTTTGTGAAGAATGAATGGTCTATTTATAGTTTTTTGGGAGTGACATGACTAGTAAATAGGGAGAAGATCAATGACATGTTGGGAGTGTTTTGGATGGATGACTGATATTGATCCCCTTGATTATAGATAATTTATCTCGCATTTGAGTGTCTTAATGATGTCAAAATTCAACAATATTGGGCTCTTTAGATTCATCTTGTCGAGCCGCTCGATTTGACTATAAGCATGTCACATTTGGAAGTCATTTCGTCCAACTTATGCTTTGAAGCTTCCAAATGTGCTTCGGACCCTCGAGTTGGACCCATTTGGGCTCCAGATTGGACCGACTATGCTGTCGTTGGATTCATCTTTTCGAGATGTTCTGTTGGACTATAAGTTTGCTGAAATCGGACTTCGGATAGTCTCGGAATTAATTTTGGAAGTTTCCAATTCAACTTTACCTCGAGATGTCCCGATCAAGATGATTTTTTGATGATATATCAAGGACAATCTTGAAAGGCGTCATGAAAGATAACAAAGAATGAAAAGCTAAAAAAAATTAAAAGATGTAACAAGATATATAAGCTTTCCGTCTGTACAAAAAGATAACCTCTACTTGGAAAAGTGCAGGTATCACATCTATTCAAGGATTAAAATCGATGAAGAAGAAGAGTCTTCATAGTCTAAGTAGCATTTAATCCTACCATAAAATTGTCTTATATGACTCATAATTTTCATATTTACAGATACAAGAATTACAATCTGCTAACTAACTAATAACTTATAATAAATTAACAAATTGCTAGCAAATAGCTAATAAATTACCAATAAATTTATTAACATTAGATAGCACAATCTTAATAAAATGATGAAAGTTAGAGAGCATATATACACACATACACATAAAATCATCAAGTATTTTGACTACAAAACATATTACTCCGGGGAGTGAAAATGATAGATTATAGCACATCCAAAGTAAACTTCTTTCTCCATTAACTATGCATCATGAAATGATGGATAATATTTCTAATGAATTAGAGGGTGATATAATCTTGAAGGAACACCAACGAGCTCATTTAGTAGTACATGAATTTGAACATGACCTATTCTTGAAAACTCAAAAATCCATTTGAAGAAGCATCAATACAAGATGTTGGGGGCTTGAAGATGCCTCAATTAAGTAACAATTCTGGAATATAGAAAGTATGATTAATACTCACATCAATATGCAACGTAGCACGAGGTTAGGACTTTCTAACAATATAATAGGGCTCTAAATTTTTGATAGATATTATCAAGCAAGTGGAGTACAAGTAGCGTTTAAGTAGATTTACACGAATATAATATTTTGCATTTTACCCTGAGTACTATAGGGAACAATAACAGCTTTAGAACTTTCAATTTGCATGTCGACTCCATTACTATAATCATTATGTAATTCATATATATATAATCAATGAAAGATGCAACTAAATATGATTAATGTATATATAGTCAAAGAAAGATGGAACAAAATATGGTTCAGGTACAGGAGTTGCAAATCCCAAATTGTCTAATTACTAGACTTGGAGTAATTCAAAATGAGGCTGAGATTTTTTATGTTGGAACTAGTATTAGTAAACTCAATTATAGGAAAATGCAATACCTAATTTCTTAGCTATATTTGTCATGATTAATAAAGGGAAATTTAAAATATTCCCTTATCAAGTTATGAGTGAGATATTGAATCTGATAGAAAATCATCATCTTAATCTGATATATATATATATATATATATATATCAGATTAAGATGATGATTTTCTATCAGATTCAATATCTCACTCATACTCATGTTTAGGTTCAAGTTAAAAAAGAACTGTAATCTCAGGCATATATAAAGTGTAAGACTGTATGGTAGAATGCAATATTTGATATTAAAAACTTCTTCAAGTCTAGGCAAACATCAGAATGAGGGTTAGAGATTTCATATATTACAATTTTCTCTATAGGATCAGACTTGATTTTATATGATATTGACATTGGTACATCACAACAACAACAACATCAAGCCTTTATCCCACTACGTGGGGTCAGCTACATGAATCCTTTTCCATGCTCACTAAATTTTAAACCATAACAAATTTTATTATGGGGTCATCAAGTAATGTTGTAGTAGAATTAACAAGAGGATGATCGAGATAAAATTCAATAATTATAACTATAGAGTAAAGCCTCATTTACTGTCTTATAATAATAAAGGCTTATTTCTTACCTAATATTTTTCATGGGGTTTTCAAACAGAATATCTTTTGAATAATCCTCCAAACATTTAAAGTATTCTGCGACACTTGTTTTTTTGCTTATGTTTTGGAAGTTAACCTGATGATTGCCTAAGATGACCAATGTTGACAAATATTGTTGTTTATGTTTGTGTTTTATCACAGCCGATTCCAAATAGAATTGTCATTATTTTGAACCTTTGCCAAAATATTGGCTAGAACCTATCCATTTAGCATAAGAAAATCTAATAAACCTTTCATTAATCATATGGTATTTTGTGAAGATATTATCTAAATCAGCTAACCAATTTAATTTAACATTATAAGTATATCTTCCATTAAATATGATAAGAGATGGAAGGTGGTGGTCGAGGGATGAGTAGATGAGGGAAAATGCCTCCTTGAATTATTTTATGAAGATGGAGAATGGAATGAAGCCATGATTAGTTTGATACCCATGACCGTAGAATACATAAATATTCCAATAAGCGCCATTTATCCAAAGTGTTGATGCAATATCAATCGACAATGTTGTTAAATGAAGACAAGCTAGGTATGTAACTTGGCTGTGATGGAATAAAGAGTGGAGGCCTAGCCTATATATCTTAATAATGGATTGATGAAGAGTGGAGATAACACCATCGTGAACTATGGAAATGGTAATGCAACAATGTACAGAAAATGGCATACTTTATGATTGAAATAACATACAAAAGATTATTTAATGGACAACTCGTCAAATATCTCATAAGAGAGAGCCACTCAATCCAACCTAGGAAAATGATCTAGACATTCTACATCATACAACCCAAGCTATTTTCTAATACAATGCAACCACATATTTATATCCATCCATTGGTAATTAAATAAAGATTCTATGGGACCAACCTTGGATTCTTTAATTTGAAATTTAAATATTTTTATTAAGGCTTTATTGCTGCAACTTTCTATAATTTTCTGTGCTTCAATAGAGGTGAAAGGGCGCGGAGATGTGTGTGTGTGCAAATTTTAACATACATGAACATATTCTATTTTGAAAATTGAAATGATTTCATTAAGGATTCATTTGTGTAACTTCTCCATGATTTGAGCTTTGCTCCATTAGAAGAGTGGTTGAGTTTGAAATTTGAATTTGAAAATTGAATTTACTTTTATTAGTGTAACTCCATAATTTATATCTTAGTTTAAGAGAGAGATGGGAAGCAAAATTTTAACATGCATTGAAATACCCTATCTTGAAGATCACATTGAAGGAGGGGCCATCTTTTGTGGAGGAGATACAATGTTGGCTGAATTTGTACTTGTTTCGACTTGGAGGACTCGGTAATAGTATATTCTTTATTGAGAATGTTGACACCTGCTTGATGATTATGATGACAATAATCAATGATTACCATGCCTTTGTGGAATAATTGGAATTTCTTAATGCTTGATAAAATTGTGACCAAGATTAACTTACTTGAAACTTACATTCATGTTCTTTATCAACTCTCCTATCCTTTAAGAGCACTTCTCGAGGAGAGATAATCATTTGATGGTGGAATGGCATGGTGCTTGGATCATTATGTCCTAATGATGATTAACAAAAAAAAGAAAACACTAATTTTCTTTATTGAAAGCCAAATATCTTGGAAAACAAAATGCAACTAAGAAAACTCAAAGTGGATTGATACATCTTGATCACAAGAAAGATAAATATTTTAAGCTAATAACATTTTAAAAATGGTAAGTCAAGGTCACAAAATCAACAAATAATCCAATGCGACAGTAAGCCCTTAACTTCTTAAAGCGGAGATTATTATTATTTTTTTAACTATAGATAAAAAAAAAGCCAATGAGGGGAGGTGAGACAAATAATTCTTATTTATGACAGGAATGAAATATTTTTAAAATGATAACCTTTCAAAAAAGGTTAGGTTAGATCACCAAATCCTTAATTTCTTGAAGAGAAGATCAAAATTTTTTTTTTGCCAAAGGTAAAAAGAAGTCATGGAGTAATTAAAACTAAAATAAGTAGCAGTTATTGAAAGAAAGAAGAAAGGATAGAGAATATCAAATTGAAGCAGGTGACCTTTTGTGGAGGATAGAGAATATTGGCTGAATTTGTAATTGCTTGGACATGGGGGCTTGGCCTATGCATGAGTAGTTTTATTTTGATTGAAAATGTTGATGTCCTCTTATGATTTTGATGGAAATATTGATGATTACTGATCCAGGCCATTGGAGATTATTAAAATGTCTTAATGCTTGATGAAGGCATGAATAAAATAGACTTGCTTGAAACCTTCGTTTTTGTTTTGCATAACAATATGGATATAGACCAAATTAATATAGATATTATCAAAACATTAATCATAACAATTTCTATGTTTCTTATCCTTTATAAGGTGTTTGAACAAACTCTTGACATATTTTAATTTTTCTAGTAAAATCTTCATTAAACATGTTTAATCTTTTATTTGATGTATCACTTGTCAGGATGGTATTATTGTTACAGTTATGCTATAAAAATTATATGTAAATGAACAAAATGAGATGACTAACAAGATTTACATCTTACATGAAGTATTATGTTAAGTTATTTTGTTGATAGTAGAATGTGTTTATATACACAATTGAACTTTTATTAGTATCAATTAATTTAATGATTGTCAAAATTATATCTGAGGCAATTAAATCCTAATTATGTAATGCAGTTAACAACACATTTACTCTCGAAAAATGCACTCATATTTTTAGCATTAAACATAGGTAAAGGACATACAAGAAGATTCAAATTATTTTAGCGGAGATTTCTATAGCTTAAAACTATGCTTAAAATATGTATTTTGCCAAATAAAAAAAAAATCAATCCAAACCTTCAATTGGATTCTTTAGTTGACTCATAATACATAATCAGATTTTGAATTTTGTTGATAGCTATGAGGATGACTTTTGATTCCTTGAGCAGAAGGTGGATGCTTTGTAGACGAAGCTAGACTGCCTTATTGGAGATTCATGGAGATTTACAATCGATTTGCAAAATGTAGTCAAATATATATATATATATATTTATTTATTTTTTTTTTTTCGTTTTTTCCCTTGCTTGTCTCTGATTGTTCTCTGTTTTTTTCTTGAACTTAATTCTATTCTTTGGTTTTCCTTTCGTATAATCCATCTAATTTTTTTCAACACTCCACCATTCAGTATTAACATGATCGGTGATTTTGTCATTCACAGAAATGTCTTTTGTTGCATGCATAGTACTGTAGGAGATCTAAGTATCATTGGTATTTAGGGTGGTTTTGATTTTTGATTTGAATGAGAGAATATGATGGGGATAGATGATGTAGAACGGTTAAGAGCTCCAAATTTTTTTGAACAACTTCAGCTTTTGGTTTCCCAAAAACCTGAGATTCTTTCTAGAGAAGTAACCCATGGGAGTGGGCTGTGAATATTTGGCCAACAGCAGGTTGGCGTTCTAATTCTTTCCCAAGCTAGGCATCATCCCGTGA